ATGGCACTAATTCCTTCACACTGGTGAACCCAGTTCAGATTTAATCATGAGCTTTTGTGAAGATGTCAGGAGTACATTTGTTCTCCCTAATTAATCCGTGATATAATAATGCTTGTTTTAAAACCATATCAGCTGTATGACTGATGGATATTTTTACCTGTGCAGTGTGTTCTACATCTTACACAAAAAATTATGTTTCGATCACTGAAATGTCTCCTGGTGTTGGTCCGAGCTTTAACACACACTCAATCTGTCCTTCAGGTATTTTTACTGCCCCCATAGATGGACATTACTTCTTCAGTGCTATCCTGACGGGCCATAAGAATGAGAAGATAGAGGCGGTTCTGTCTAAGTCGAACTACGGCATGGCCCGGGTGGACTCTGGAGGCTACCAGCCAGAAGGCCTGGAGAACAACCCTGTGGCCGAGGCTAAAACCACTCCAGGATCTCTGGCTGTCTTCAACATCATCCTGCCTCTGCAGACTCGGGACACGGTCTGCATCGACCTGGTGATGGGAAAACTGGCCCACTCTGTGGAGCCACTCACAATCTTCAATGGCATTTTACTGTATGAAGACATGTGACAAGTTCATGCTGACGAATGAAGACTGATTCATGACAAACCTGCAGGAGGCTGCACCATAAAGTATGATGTCTCCTCTCTCAGGAGTGATCCTAAACTGATGACAGAAACTTGTAAATTATTGGTTCTATGTTATTATGACTCTTTATGTCACATGTGGACGACAGCAGGGGTTGATTTAATACAGTGAGCTGATCTGACGTCAGAGCTGATGTAAACAAGGATCCCCCGGTGCCTGGCAAACCTACTCCCTACTTGAAACTTTTATAGAACTGTTTGGAAGCACAGGAATTCTTGTGGTGGATATTGACAGTGTAACAATCTGAGTGCTGTTGGCCTCACCTACAGGCTGCAGAGTTCATTACAGAATCTGAACAGTTTGCAGGGGGTGCTACAAGATAGACCATCTCACTGGTAGATTTTGAAGTATGGCATTGTGGACCAACGTGTTGGACAGACAGATGGATGCTCAGCACTATCCTTAAGCCCTGCCCCTACCAGGTCAGATGTTGATGGCAACACATGACAGTGTGACTTTAAATTTAATGAAAAACAAATAAGTGTTTTGCTCTGAAGCTTTATAAAAAGCAAAATGTCTTTTGTGTTTGATATGATGAGATGAGTTCACTTTGTGAATGTTTCATATTAAGCTGCACCTTTTCTGTTTTATGTGCTTCAAAGTATTTATGTCATTATCACATAATTTCACTTTGATGGACAAACACCAAAAGCCAAGGCTGTAAATACTCTACACTTTCTTGCTTTCAAAAATCAAATTAAAGAAATACTCAGATTGTTTAATTAAGTGGAGGTTGTAGTCAAGTGTGAACCTATCATGACATTACCAATTCGTTTTTGGAGTACCGTTTTGAACCTCGAATTCTGTGTTTTGGTCACCACCACGACAGTTAGACGGCGGCTCACCTGGTCATACATGATCTCGTATTACAGCTATAGCAACAGTACACTAAAAATGTGTTTGAAACGATTTTAAGTGAGAAATAGGCAATGCAACAGAACAGAATCTCGATCCATATCTGATCAGCACTGCCTAGTTTGACAGTTTGATCTGAGTTTAGTACATTGAGTTGGATGGACTCACTGAGAATGACCTGTCAATCAAAAGGTAGCCCCGTCCTAAAGCATATGCAGCTTTATCATCTATTTTATTGAAACTGGACAGTAATTTACTAAATTAACTTCATAATGTATTGAAGATGTGAAACTAGTGATTGAGACCATAAACTCATCAGAAAACTGTTTGCTGAGCTCATAAATAAAGTGAGAAGTCGGCTCATTCTCCATTAGAGTGAATGGTATCGGTGGGTTATTGCAGCCAATTCGATTCAGTTCAGTTCAGTTCAATTTTATTTGTATAGTTCAATAACAGAAGTTATCTCAGGACACCTTTTCAAATAGAGCAGGCTCTAGACCGAGACTCTTATAACATTATTTACAAGAACCCAACCCCACCATGAGCAAGCACTTGGCGACGGGGGCAAGGAAAAACTGCCTTTTAAGAGGCAGAAACCTAGGACAGACCCTTCGGCTCTAGGTGGGTGGTCGTCTGCCTCGATAGAGCCAATAGAGCTCCCACTGCTGGCCTTTATAAAGAATGCAGGTTTTAAGAAACGTCCGCGTTGGCTTTTTACTTTTCTGACCCGGAAGGTCTGTCCATCATATATACTGTCAATGATAGTAGTACCACAATGTAAACATTCATTCAGCCTTTATTTAAAATTTAATGATTACACCATGGGAATTACAAATATGCTAAATCAGTTAAAACATACATGTAAAAGTAAAAAAAAACTGAAGTTGTATCAAATTAAAGTTTTGAAAGTACAAGAATGGAGCTCTATTGCACAGATGAATGAGATATACCTCATCTGATGAGGCTTTTTTTTAGGATAATTCTCATTATTATGGCAATAATATAAACTGTGAACTAAATCAACAGTTTTATTTGACTCAGTTACTGAACATCACTGATGTGAGGATGTGTGACCTGTTCCACTATACAGATAAACCAATGACTGATATTTATTCTACTTATATTCTGTTTATCATCTGCATTTACACTGAGAAGAGCATGTTTATTCTCTGACAGACTTTAGCTCCAGTTCTCATGTTTTTACACTTCACACTTTTGTATTGATGAATCATTTTGAGTCATTAAAGTAAACACAAGTGAAACCGAACAGGTTCTTAACAATTTGTGCTGTACATAGTCTGAACCACATTGGAAGTTTTCAATTAAATTTGATGAAATTTGTGGCATTGACCAACTTAACTCCTTTGTACAAAAGGTTGGATTTGCTTGAGTGGTATCGCTTTCATTAAAGCAGCTTTCAGATGACACTAAGGTGGGTTTGATCAGAGGCTCATCAAATTTGTAGCTAGTGTTCACCTGTGAAATATCGCTGTACCTCACATTTCTAGCAGATCTTTGCCTCCCAAGTAGCATTGTGATAGTGGGAACACCAGAACTAAGTCAAAGTGTAAGAAGTCAAATTGTTAGTCTCACTAAAGAGGAACTTTCTCAGCATGAAATCATGCCTAGAATTAAGGTTTTTAATGTGGAAGTGCATGGAACATCAAAAAAATCAATACATACATTTTGTTCGCTGAGAAATAGAAAAGCAATTTCAACACACAGAATTTGATAAATAAAGGCACCCGGTTAGCTCAGTCTGTAGAGCCCATATACAGAGTTGCAGCAGCGCCGGGGGTTCCAATCTGACCTGCGGACTGCTGCGTGTCATCCCCTCTCACTCTACCCACCTTTCCTGTCTATCTTCAGCTGTCTCTAGCCAATAAAGGCATGAAAAAGGCCCAAAAAAATTACTTAAAAAAAAAATGATTAGGAATTTGCTAAATAAAAAACGCAAGCATTCAATCAGCAAAATGACTGTTAAAAGAAGGCTGTCTTGTCCTCGTGTCAGAGGATGAGTAGCAGTTTCTAAACCATTTCTCAGGAGGGGAAACAAGGCCAAGCACTTGGGCTGGGCTAAGAAATACATTTCACATTTGACTGGCAAGAAGTCCAATTTACTGATTAATCTATGTTTTATATTTATGGGAGTAACAAATGGATGTATAAAGAGTGAGGAGGAGAAAAGGAGAGAGAATGATCCTGTAGTATATCAAACCAGCTTTCATCACAAGAAGCAATCTGGAACGTTGTCAGATTATGCTGGGATAACATGGCCCTTGAGGTTTTACACAAACTTGTGGGGTCCATGCAAGCTGGAGTGCAAGCTGTCATTACAGGGCAGCCAGTAGGTGGAGAGGGGCATAATCACAAGGTTAATTGTTTGATTTCCTGGCTCTCCCTGTCTACTTGTCCAAGTGTCCTTGAGCAAGACACTGAACCCATAGTTGGTCCTTGGGCACCACAGCTGCCCACTGCTAGTGTACAGGAAAAGGAAAATAAAGCCCAAAACTTCAACATATAGCCAGTACTACAGGATCCCATGTGTAATAAAGTCCTTTGTATAAAACTCAGTGGAAATCAGCTGGCGTTATGGACAGTTAAAGGAACGAGTTGCCGTGGAAGCATAATTACTGTGATATTTATATTAATGCATAAGACTGAAATAACTGCACTAACAGCAACTTGAATGATGTTCATGTTTGTCCATAAAATAAAGATCATCAAATCTTTTATGAATTATAAAACACTTTTTTCCCCCAGTTGTTCTAATTCAATTCAATTGTATTTGTATAGTGCCAATTCATAACAGAAGTTATCTCAGGACATTGTCTAATCCAGACATTGAGACATTAAGTACTTTGTATATGGAGTTATCCAGATAACAAAAACCCTAACCCTGGTTGATTATTTGGTTCTTTGAAACTGCGTGAAAATTAATATGTTAATCTGTTGTCATAGCAACAACTTCCCTAAAAAGGAAGTAATTTTCAGACACAGATGTCTTTCTTACATTTCTAATTAAATTTGTTGAAATAAATAACATTTCAAATGAGAACATGCAGGTTATTGTAAAGTCAGTTTGTTTTATTGCCACAGAAGTTTCACAATGAAGAGTCACTAAAGCAATTTTACACAGAAGGAGTGCTGTTGTACTGAATATCAGCTGTGACTCAGTTGACAGCTGCTTTGGTGAGTGCAGGCTGTGTAGAGCAACAGGCAGAGCCACTGATCCTCATTTTGCACATCCCTTGATCCACATCCTTTTGACCCTTGTAATAATCAGGAACCCTGAACCCTGAACCGTGACGTACTGACGTGCTACGGTAAGCG